GGGAGTGTATTTGGAAGTGGTAGGGAGGACGGAGCTTATTGTATAGTAAGCTCTTTAAGTAGGAAGGCTAAGAAAAAGGGGAAAAATCGACAATGCACAGATGATATATTTCCTGTCTACAAAGACAAGGGATGAAGAAAGATAGTTCTTTCTGGAGAAGGAGATGATAGACTTTTTCAACAACCTCTTGATCATAGGAACTTCTATACTCTCAAATATCTTTAATATATAGTTTAATTTAAAATACATGTACATTTCAGCTTTTACTTTCTTATTCTATGAAAATTAATTAATGTAGAAAAGAGGGACAAACATACCCATAGTCTTACCCAAAGTCAGATATTATTAATCTTTTGGTACACTGCTCTTTAGTAGTTTTCATTGGTTATTTTTTTAATAGTTACATGAGCTATATTGCTTTTATTTTATATTATATTATAGTCATTTTAACAGTTTATGAAAAATATCCAAAATCTCTTTATCAGGGTCATAATATTTTGTCAAGGAGAAATACCGGAATTAACGTAATACATATGATTGTTGGACATACTGTTCTTTTAATTTAAGTTAAAAAAATTCCACAAATATGATGCTTATGCATGGAATGTACTTTTGAATGTAAGAAACAGGGCTATATCTTTATGGTTATTGTCTTGTCCAAATTCCAATCACAGGTCTCAAAACATAGAATCATATTAATAAATATTTATTAAAGAAATCACCATACATTAGGAGATATTTTTATTCTGAGTATAAAAGCACTGCATATACTATGTTAAATTAACTCGTTTGCAAAGTACTACATCAGGAACACATTCATATTTCTTTTTTGTCAAAAGTATCGTATAATAAAAGATACACAAAAAAGAAATTAAGCATAATAACTGAAAATCCATATTACTCATCAGTTGTTTACTGAGAGACGTATCAATATAATTGAATCACACTTTACCCACTTCAACAGCATTTCCCACCATCCTTCCAGAGGTAATAGAGGTTCTATAGCTGGTGATTATTAGTTCCAATGTGTTTTCTTATGTTTTTACCAGATTACTGTCTCTTATTCTGATTTCAACAATACTTTAACACGATGAGGTACATAGAATTAGTTGATCTTACCCTACTTCCACTGTCTTTCATTCCTTTTATAGTTCATATCCCATCTTACTGTGATTGCCTTCTGTATATCCAACTCCTTTGCCCCTCTCTTGTCATATTTCATCTGATACCTGACTGAATCAAAATATCCACTTTGTATCCACCTTCTCCCGTGCAAACAATATGACTGAAGAAAAATACATAAGAATGCTGACTGGACTTCTTTTAAAGTGATGGCAAATAACCTCAGGTGGGCCCTTTAGTGATGCTTTTTTAATGATGGCTAAGGGTAGCCGAAAATTAGAAATAATCCAAATGACCCTCAACTGATGAATAGATAAATAAAAATATCCATGCAATGGACTATTACTTAGTCATACAAAGGAATGCAGTGCTTATACCTGGTACAGGGATGAACCTTGAGAATATTATATTAAGCAAAAGAAGCCAGATACAAAAGGCCACAGACTGCTTGTTTTATTTACGTAAATCCTGTAGAAAGGCAAATCCATAGAGACACAAAGTGGATTAGTGGTTGCCAAGACTAGGGTGAGGTGATGGAGGTAATGGGGAGTGACTGTTAATGAGGAGGAGTTTCTTCTTAGGATGATGAAAATATTCTGGAATTTCATAGTGGTGATGGTTGTACAGTCTCTAGAGTACACTAACAACTACTATGCACACTTAAAAATGACATATTTTATAGTATCTGAATTATGACTCAACAAAACTAAACGATTAAATAAGTAAAAGACCACCAGAGGATTCTGTTGTCCCACGTAGCACGCTTCCCTACACACAGTTCTCCCCAGACTTAGGCCTTGTTCAGGCTAGAGGAACCAGCTCTGCAGCAATTCTGGCCTCCTGCTCCATTCATTTCTGCCTCTCAGCATTTGATCCTGTAGTCATGTTTTTCTAGATCTTAATTCCAGGGGTATTCACACCTGGCCCTGAATATGGGAGATGCATTTGCAGCCAGGATCTGTACTACATGCTCGGTGAGTGCTTGGTGAGCGTTTTCTCACCTATTCCTCACAACAGATCTATCAGGTGGTACTGCGAGCCCCATTTTAAAAAAGAGGAAATGACACCCCAGGAGTATGCAGGAAGTTGATGGAAGGGCAGTGCAGAAACTCAGATCTGTCTGATTCCTGGAATATGATGTTTGTTTGTCCATCTTTGACTAAGGCAATTCCTGCAAGCTCCCTCTTCAAGCCTTTTGAGTAAGTCTCTCATTTAGAAATGTTCATTGCCTCATAGACAGGGCATATGTCAATGTGACACATATCTCAACCTCCTAGTTGCTACAGGTGGTTACCTGCTACACTGGACTCTATCTAATTAGCTTGAGCCCCCAGTTGAAGGGGACTTGAAACCTGGGAGTGGAACAGACCCTCAGTGACTGTGTACGTACCCTCACTTTTGGGACAGGCCTTCTTTATATCTTAAAAAGTTTACATGTTCCTGGATCTGTAGCATGGAAAAAATTTGTCCTAGAAAGGATACCAAAAGGCAACCAAAATGCCAAATAGATCTAGGTGCTGACTGGGAACTTGCCGGAAATCAGCTGGACCGGGTTCTCACACTCATATGAAGGTTATTACAGTAGACTGGCAGGGTTTGTTCAGCAGAGAGGACAGGAGGGATAGTGTTGTGCTCTGAAAAACCATCTCTAGAGATAGTGAAGGCAGATTTGGATATAAGTAAGAACACAAGCCTCTGAAGTCCTGGCAGGATCAAATAAATACCAATAGTTAATTGCCTTTCCCTGGTGTTTGAATCATGTGCTAGCTGGTGTAGACATTCCGCTGGCTACCTGAGAGAAAACAAAGGCCAGAGGTAAAATATAAATTACAAAAGGCTGTGAAGTCATGAGAGCAGCATGTGGTGGTCAAGAGCCAACTTTTGGAATGAAACAGCTCTGCCCCTTCCTAGCCAGGACTCAAACCTGGGCAACTTGTGCTCCCGGATGATTACTTGAACACTTCTGAGCCTGAGTTCCATCATCTGTAAAACAAGAAGAAGGCAACAGAAGCTCTTAACTGACGTCTGGACCAACCTGTGGAGCTTGCTGCCACTCCTCCACCTGCCAGACACAGCAACTGATGCCCCAGGGAAGTGAGCTGCTGTCCTCGCAGCCTCCTCTCTTCTTTCCGCACCAGCTGCATTTTGAGCTTCTCAGCAGTCCGCTGTTTGCCTCTAAATCTAAATATAAGCGTGCTATGTTTGTTGTTATAATTATACATGTCAACTAAACATTAGGTAAACAACAAAAAGAAAGTCAATCAATGAAACTAACCGTGTAAACAAAATAAAGCACAGAAGTCATGTAATCATTTCAATAATTGCGGAGAAAGTGTACGAAAATATTTAACATCCATGTAAAATAAAATCCATCAGAAAACTAGGAATAATAGGCAACTTATTTCAACTGATGAAATTTATTCATTAAAAACCTACAGTTAACATCATACTTAATAATGTAAGCTGAAATTTTTCTATTAGATTGAAAGTAACACAAAGATGCCCGATGTTAATACTTCTATTCAACATTGTAGGGAAGTCCAAACCATAGCAACATGGAAAGAAAAATAAATAAAAGACATAAAGATCAGAAAAGAAGAAATAAAACTATCTTGTTTGCACATGATCTGTTTGTTTATGTAGGATAACTCAGGGGAAACTACAAATCACTTACTAGAACTATTAAATGAATTTAGCAGTTCACAGGATAAAAAGTTAGTACAAAAATAAATTGACTTATTATAGAGTAGCAGCAAATGCTTAAAAATAAAATTTTAAATTAGATTTGTAGTAGTAACAAAACATGAAATAATTAGGAATAATTTTTAAAAAAATACTTTCAAGGCTGGCCCTGTGGCGTAGTGGTTAAGTGTGCGGGCTCCACTTCGGCAGCCCGGGCTTTGCGGGTTCAGATCCTGGGCATGGACATAGACACCACTCATCAGGCCATGCTGTGTTGTCATCCCACATATAAGATAGAGAAAGATTGGCACAGATTTTAGCTCAGGGACGATCTTCCTCAAGCAAAAATAGAAGGATTGGTAACGGATGTTAGCTCAGGGCTAATCTTTCTCACCAAAAAAAAACAAAATCTTTCAAGGTTTCTAAAATGAAAATTTGAAAACTGTGAAGAGAAACTAAAAAAGACCTAAAAAGAAAGATACACTATGTCCATGTTTATGAGATTCAATGAAGTTAAGATGAGAATTCTCCCTTAATTACTCTATAAATTAAACACAGTCCCAATCAAAATCCTAGCAGGCTTTTTTGGAGATAGTGACAAGCTGCTTCCAAAATTTACATGAAAATGCAAAAGACCCAACAAAAATATTTTTTAAATAAAAAGACAGAGTAGAAGTTCTGACCTAACCCATTTTGGAGGATTTACCATAGAGCTGTGGTGATTACGGTAATTAAGCATTGTTGTTGTTGGTGCCCTTGAGTTGATTCCTAGCAACACTGTGTACAACAGAGCAGAACTCTGGCCAGTCTTTTCTGTGCCATCCTCTCCCCTTCCTGGTGGCATATCAGACAATGCTCCACTGTTATTAGGAAGTGGGTGGCCAGGTTCTTCTTCCACCATGCTGGTGTGTGAAATACCAGTGCACTAGGTTTCAGCATCACAGCAACACACAGCTACCACAGTATAACAACTGACAGACAGGTGGTGTGGTTCCCTGACCAGAAATGAACCCGGGCCGTGACGATGAGAGTGCCAAATCTTAACCACTAGACCACCAGGGCTGGCTAGTTAGGTATTGATCCACCCACATATAGACAAAAGATTTTCCACAAAGGTGCCAAGGCAATACAATAGATATATTAATATTTCCTCAACAAATAATGATCTATGAATCGTGTGTCTGCATGAAAAATGATCAAGATTTTTTTTTGGAGAAAAACATTTTCAGGACATGGTCAGGAATTTGTTTGGTCTTCATGTCATAGACAATAGGGTTGAGAAAATGTCGGACTAACAGGTAAATGTTTGCTAGGAGGATATGAACATATGGTGGTATGTGAGAACCAAACCTGTGAGTAAAGAAAGAGAAGAAGGCAAGGAGGTAGAACTGTAGGAAGACACAAATGTCGGCAATGCATGTATTAAGGGCCTTGAATCGTGCCTCCTTCTGGGGCAGTCGAAAGACAGTGATAAATATTTGAACACAAGACAAGATGATAAAGATTATGTCAAACCCTAAGATGGCAAAAACAACAAATAGACCATATATCTTGTTGATCCAGATATCTTCAGTAGCCAGCTTCACAATGGCCGTGTGCTCACAATAAGAGTGGGAGACGATTGTTCTTCGGTAGAGTATAAGAAGACATTTGATAAGTAAGACAGATGGCGCTAAAAGTATGGCAGACCTGAATGTTACTCCACCTCCAACGTACATAAAGAGTTGTTGGGAGAAGATGGTGGCATGTCTCAAGGGGTCACAGATGGCCACATAGCGATCTAAAGCGATCGCCAGTAGGACCCCTGCTTCAATTCCCTGGAATGAGTGAATAAGCCACATTTGTAGAAGGCAGGCTTCAAAAGAAATCTCTGGCAAACGAAACCAGAAAAGGCCTAACATTTTGGGAAGAATACAGGTGCTAAGTGCAATGTCTGTGGCCCCCAAGATGGCCAAAAAAATATACATGGGATTATGGAGGCTGTTTTCATATTTGATTATAATTAAAATTAGGGAATTCCCAATCACAGCAACGAGGTACATGATACAGAATGGAATCCCAATCCAACACTGCACTGACTCCGGGCCGGGAATCTCGATGAGTGTTAGTACAGAGGACATGAAGACCGAGCCATTGAACCTGAGCAGGGTGATTTGGTCAGTAGAATCAAGGAGTGATAATCCTGTTTTATCTTCTATACCCTGTCAAGACTTCATGGCTTAAAAATAAGAAGAAATTAATTCATTTTAGAAAAATATGCTTTAGTTATATTAGAAGTATACCAGTTTATCATTTCTACCCCAACTCCTCCTAACTTTCTCTTTTCCCAACGTCATTGAGAGATCGACCATCAGGTTCTATTTTTCTATATGCCTTAATCATTTTCCATGAGCCAATTTAAATAGATTGGATGACTTCCTTCTGGTCCATGACTACTGGACCAAACAGATTCCTTTTAATTTGTGTTTGCTAATCATCATCTGTGCTTTTTTGTGACCTGCCAATTGGAATTGGGGGGGAAAATCATTTAGTGCAGAGTAAAAATATATCAAGTACTAGACTCCACGTAGTGGAGACCGTTCTGCTTGATCATAATCAGAAGACTAATTTGACCAGAGTAATTTTCAGTTTTGCAGCTCACTCATTTGTTTCTCAATTAGTCTCTTCATCTTCCAATCCCTCTCTAATAGACTCTCAGAAAATTTTCAACATAATTTTTCAAACTTTCTGTGTTTTCCCAAGGCCCAATCATACATCTTGCATATTTTCCAATTTATTCTTTGTGAAAATGAATTCATTATTTTTGAATCCATGGGTGTTTTCCTTAGCAGTTCTGAAAGGAACTTGTTCTCAATGTGCTCTGTTATTTGCATATCTCTTATATTTAATTTCAAGTGCCAGTCTAGGTCCTCTGCTATTCTCTCTCCCCATCAATAACCATCATTGTATTCCTAAGCCTGAATAGTTGTTTATTCTTAACTATTTATAATAACACAGAAGTCTCCATGAAATATAATGTTTTCTTTGCATATAGCCTTATGCATCTTCTATCCACTCAAAATACAATTTCTGTTGAGGTGAAATTTTTCTTCTATGCAGTGATTTTCATAGGACTAGGTCCATCCTCTTCACGTGCCTGTTCTTTACTGGTTGCTTCAACACATAACACTATATGCTTCCAGGGCCTCCTATGAGTGGTTTGCCTTATCATTTTCCGAAGCCCTTGGGGATTTTCCTTTCTAATTATTCCCCACAATCTATATTTAACTTTTCTTTAAGAAAATATTTCCACCCCGATATATGAAAAATGTTAATTTACAAATTATAACTATTTTCTTTTATTATTTACAAAGATTATTTTCTGAAACTATTTAAACAAAGTATAAAACAGATAAAAATGGTGAAGAAGTCCTAAAACAACAGATTGGGAACAAGAAACATTTCACAATCATGTTCTCTCTATCATCCTTCAAGTTCTTTTCCTCTGATAAATTCAGACTATGTCTGTCTAGGACATGAAAGGAGACCTATAACCTGCCTCAGGTCAATTGCAATAGCATTTATTCCTCTTTTTCTTAAAACTTAGCCAATGGTGAGCAAAGCTTTCCTTTCTAAGACCCCTTGTTCAATAACTCTTCCTTCTAGTAAATACACAATATGTCAACATGGATCTTCCTCACATCAGACTACACCCAAATTAGAAATTAATTTCCTAATGATTTTATTTTATAGGCATTAATTATCTACCATATTCCACGAAGCAACTGGGGAACAAAGTAAATTTGTATATCACATATTTTTGAAGTATCTACATTGTGCAGAGTGCTTGGAATTAAAAAAGTAGCAGGTACCATTTATTAAAAATGTTATTTCAACTGCTTAGATTTTTAAACATTTAGATTATTTCACTTCCCTTAGCTGATGGTGATGGCATCATTACCCTCTTATATTAATGAAAAGCTAAAACTTGTTTTTATTATAGGTAAATCTACTTGAATACAAATTCCGTGGCATATCAGCCTAGAAAGAACAATAAAAACAAATTGTGTGCTCTGAGATTTTATGATTATTTTTCAGTAAACATTATGAGATACATATCACTGTGTTACTAAATCAGGCTGGATTGTATAAAAATATACTAAAGATTTTAGTCAGTTTGTGCCTTTTCAGATTCTGAAGGGACAACCCCTATATTACCTTTTTAATTAGCCAAATAAGTATAATGTATAAAGTACAATGTATTTTATTAGATGCTACATGTCTGATACAGGACCGCATTTGCAACATCATATTATTCATGTACTTACCAACAATCTCTGTGGTTTGCTCAAATGTGTGCTACTGCCTTTATTAGAAATATTAATTTGGGAAATTAAACATGGCCACATGAGTAATATTTGACCTAGAGAATTCTTGGAGAATAACAAAATCCATAACTCTACAGAAGTATATAATGTGAGTTATCAGAGGAAGGCAAGCAAAAAGAGGAGAAGGAAACAAATTAGCAGGCAAACAAAATCAAAAAAGCCTCTTTTCAGTCTAATAGACCATATATCATGAGAGAAAGGTAGTTACCTTTCTTCCTGACAGTTACATTTCCAACTTCATGACGCCTAATTGATATTCTTCCAGGGCAGAGTTTCTTAATCTCAGCACAGTTGTCATTTAGGGTCAGACAAATGGTTGTTGTGGGAGTTATTATTTACATTGTAGGAGGTTTAGTAGCTTTCCTGGTTCCTACACATTCAATACCAGTAGCATTTTTGCCTTTTAAAAATTCAGTCGGCTAGGAGCTTGATGAATGGTTTGAAGGGCATGAAAACTTGGCATAAAGAGATCAAGTTAGAAAGATATTCGTGATAGTCCAGAGGAGATATCATGGAGTGATGTGGCAATATCAGAGGAATATCAAGGAAGCAGTCTTTGTGGGACTCACTGACTTGGTGTACGGAAATTGAGAGAGATGAGACTAGAGATGTTCTTGGGTTAAGAGTTGAAGCACCAGGTGACACAAGACAAGGTGGAAGCAACTATCTTTCTTTTTTTGGGGGGGGGCAGGGGAGGAAGATCAGCCCTGTGCTAACATCTGTGTACAGATATGTAGACGTTTAGAAGAGGGAAGAAAGATATCTCAAACCCTCAAAATTCATAGGGCAGGGAAACAATCCTGGGTCTCATGAATATCATAAACCATTAATATCATTTACAACTCTAATTCTGACTCAGACTGATTCCCAGAGTCTAAAAGATTTACAGGATTTAAGGTCTAAACCCACCCTCCCTACTATGTCAGAAATCTCTTTCCTCTATAAAGTTTCTGGCATTCACCCTTTGATCTCAGCCTCAAGGCCTCCAGCGATAGAGAACTCTCTTTGTGTTCTGAGATAGCTTGCCACATTGCAGGGCAGCTCCAAATGTCAGATAGGTCTTCTTTCTATGGAGCCTCAAATTGTCTCCCTCTTAATTTTTAACAAAGGTTTTAAATCTACATCCCAAGTTCTAATGAAGGACATCAGCCATGGATCATGGCAGTTAACGCACAGGTTCTGAATTCAGTCAAGAGAGTTTAAATCCTAGATGTCATTATTTAGCTTTACATGGTGCTCAGGAATTATGAAACTTCTACGTGTCTCAATTTCCTTATTACTCAAATAAAGTTAATGGAAAGAAATGTAATACTGGGTGACAGAGAGGATTAAATTAAATAATCCATCTAAAGTATTTAGGAAAAAAACTTAAAATGTATGGAAATATCAATAAACGCCAGCTACTAATCTACAGGCATTTATCCTCTTTTTCTCATGAATAACTTCAGATATTTGATGAGTATTTCACCTGACTTAGCATTTCTTCTAAATGACTTAAAGGGCAACATTTCTTTGAGTCTTTCCTAGTCTAAATATACATAATTTCCTGATCTTTTAACAACAAAGTTTTCCTTTCATTTATGAGCCCAGATATCATTCTCTAAAGGTTCTCCTATTTGTCAAGATCACTTAAAAATTTGTCACTTATTGTACTATTAACTGATTTGGAAATATTCTGAAAAGCATGAAACAAAACCTTCCTAGTGTTTGAGCACTCAACTACTGTAAGATTCTTTTGCTTTTTCATCATCCTGCCATCATATTGGATCATATGTGATATATGTTCTCTTTGAAACCAGTCCTCCATTTGCCCACACCCAGTGCAGAATCTAAGCCCAAGGATTTACCAGGGATCATCTGTGGTAACAGATGTAGAAGCCATAGGGTGGATCTTTTGATGTTTCTGTTAATGAAGGATAAGTGTTTTGTACCACAGGACACACCTGGGGTATTGGTTGTCACCAATCTCTGGTGAGCTTTTAGGTTTACCTGGGACAAGGGTGAAAAAGGAGGTGCAACATGGTTCAGAACTTAGAAGAGTCGTTGTCTAACAGCAGTTCTGTGTCTAAAAAAATATTCCCAAACTCTGCTATCTCTTTGGGACTGGGAACCAAAATGACTTTCCTTTTAAATATTCTTAAGAGAAGACAGTGCCCCAAGACAACACAAAATAAGTTACTGACACATATTTACAAAAATAATGAGCCAATAAAGGGAAATAAAAACATCCTGAGATATTAGACTAATCAATGTAGACATGCTGACAGAGAAATAAAAGGAATATTTCTGCAACCTAACGCCAGTAGGGACAGCTCTGATTTCTTATTTAAGCCTATGAAAGGGATTGACTGGAAAGTTCGTCTCACAGCCTCAGTCACTTTCACTTTCTGAACTTCTCCACATGAACTTTGGTGACACTAAATTTTCCTGTATCCAAACCAACTCTCACCAAATTGTCCCAGTCATGTTCAGAATTCCCATGAAATGATTAGACGTATCTTCAAAAATTTTAGTGCCATAATATCTATATGAACATCCTCGCTAGGAGCTATTTTTCATGGCCGATATTTATTTAGTTTAAAATTGAGTTGTGCCTTGCAAAAGGGATTTTAAGCTTTGGTATTATGAAAAGGAAAGAAAATGACTCCCATTCTCCTTGTAGAAAAAGTCTAACAAGTCTGGATTACCTGCATGTAGGAGACATGATGGCCTTACTTGGAATCACACTGTTTTTGTCCTTTATCATTGGGTCTGGCCCTATTTAGTAGACCTGTCTTTTTCCAGTGAAAGACTTTCTGATCTCATCTTGTCATTAAACTGCCATAAAATTATATTCATCCCAGAAAAACCAATGGTACAGGATTGAGGGCAGTTATGTGCTGGAGGCAGTTCATACAGGCTTAGAAGAGCTGGTTGTATGCATGTCTTCCCAGCTCTGCACTCAGTGACTCCATGCTGGGAGATTGAAATCGACCATAGCTGGAGTATCCATTCCAGGAAAATAAACAAACAATGCATATCAGAGTGAGAACTATCCACTGAAGTAACAACAGATGGACCCAAAATAAAACGGAATATTTTCAGGTAAAATAAGATGAATACTTTTCAGATAGAATATCAAGGAGGCAGAAGTGGGGGCAGCAGGTTTTGAAATCTGTACATTACTCTTTATATATAGTGTAACTAAAAATATAGACCTATTGAATGACACTCAAGATATTTTTGGAAACATGCAAAGTATGTTTGAACCTCAAAGAATCTCAAGTTAGAGGCAAAAATATTTGTAGATACTATTTAGCTTCAACCCATTAGAGCTATAGGGGAATAAAATATTAGAAAAATATATGACTCCTTATTTGGTGACAGATATAATTCCTTAGGACTCCTAATATTAAATAGAAATAATTGCCTCCATAAGCATTTTTTTGGAAATGTACCTCTCTGTGAAATGTAATAGGAAATACGGACAGCAAATTTTCAAAAGAGGCTCTTATTTCTACATGTTTTCCAGAGAAAATCAGAAAAAAAATTTAATTTTTAAATGTGATAGAATTAGAAATGGAAGTCAAATAACTTTTACTATAGATGTTGATAGAATTCATCAAGTGACAAGAAATATTCAAAAATGAAATATGGAAAATATAAATAGAAGAGCCTGGCCTTGCCTATATTATTTGTGGAACAGTCTGAATTAAGATGGGCATTTTTACCATGAAGAGAAGAGAGAGATCATGGAAAAGCTTATTTGGCCAGAGTCTTGCCTGCCAGGTGTCAGAGTAGACTCAGGTACATCCATGCCATGGAATATCACCTAGGTAGGAAAAAAAATTAAGTTCTAATTTATGCTACAATATGGGTGAACTTGAAAACTTTACGCCACGTGAAAGTAGCCAGACACAAAATGCTATGTATTGTATGATTCTCTTACATGAACTGCCCAAAATAGTCAAATTCATAGAGAGAGAAAGTAGACTAGTAGTTGTCATAGACTAGGGACAGGACAGAATGGGGAGTGACTGTTAATGGGAATGGGATATCTTTATTGGGGTGATGAAAATGTTCTGGAGTATGATAGTAGTGATGGTTACACAATTTTTGAATGTACTTACAACCTGAAGCTTGTATATTTTAAAGGGTGAATTTTATGGTATGGTAGTTACACTTCAATTAGAAAAAAATAACCTGTTCTTGAGTTCAGTGATTGATCCAGTCAGATGTTGATCTCCTATAGTGAAATTTTTCTATTCAGTTATTGCATTCTTCAGCTCTAAAATTCCTGTTTGATGTTTTTTTTAATATTTTCTATTTCTGTTAATGTTTTCATTTTGTTTATGTATTGTTTTCCTCAGCTCATTGAGCATCTTTGTGATGGTTATTTTCAACACTTTGTCAGCTAATTTATATACCTCTGACTCTTTAGGATTGATTTCTGGAGATTTATATTGTTCCTCTGAATGAGCCAGGTTTTCCTGTTCCTCCACATGGCTTGTGACTTCGTGCTGGGACCTACTCATTTGAGAAAACAGCCACTTCTTCCAGTCTTTATGGACCTGCTTTGTGCTAGGAAAAACCTCAGTCAGGCTGGTTAGAGATTCTGCAGGCCTTTCAAATGTTTCTTTGGATGTGTCTTATCAGGTTTGTGCATCTCAATTCCCAATAGAGCGTTTGATGGTTTCTTTTGTCAGCAGCTCATAATCTCCTCCTTCATCTGGTGTCTATGGTATTGCAGGATCCCTGGACCAACAGAAATCTCCCCAGTTCTTTTGTTCTCTGCAGTCCCCATGCATGCAGAGTATGCCAGGTTCCATCAGTGCTCCAAGAGAAGTGATACGGAAACCAGTGCCTTGAGCAGCCCCTCAGAAATCAGAGCCTTGAACACATACTCCAACAGTTTCCCTCGCCAGGGAGAAGCAAGGAGAAAGGGATTTCTCCTGCTCTTTCCACACGGAATTATTGGGTGGGGGGGTACCATGGAGAGTGAGTGCTTGCTAGTCCAAACCATGGCTTTTGTTCTCAGTGACCCCCAACTTGGCACCTTTCCTGTCAGCACTTGGATTCAGGCAGACAGAAACTGGTCCCATAGGCAACCCCTGACAATTCAAAAAATTGGATATATGATTGACTCTTTTTTCCCTTTTTTTTTAATTGAGGTAACACTGGTTTACGATATTCTATAAATTTCACGTGTACATCATTATACTTCTATTTCTTCATAGATTACATCATGTTCACCACCCAAATACTAATTACAATCCATCACCACACACATGTACCTAATCATCTCTTTTGCCCTCCTCCCTCCCCCTTCCCCTCTGGTAACCATCAATCCAATCTCTGACTCAGTGTGTTTATTTCTTGTTGTTTTTTTCTTCTAATTATGAGTGAGATCGTATGGTATTTGACCTTCTCCCTCTGACTTATTTAGCTTAGCCTAATACCCTCAATGTCCACCTATGTTGTCACAAATGGCTGGATTTCATTATTTCTTATGGCTGAGTAGTATTCCATTGTGTATATATACCACATCTTTATCCATTAGTCCGTTGATGAGCACTTAGGTTGCTTCCAAGTCTTGGCTATTGTGAATAACGCTGCAATGAACACAGGGGTGCATGTATCTTTACGCATTCGTGTTTTCATGTTCTTTGGATAAATACCCAACAGTGGAATAGCTGCATCGTATGGTAGTTCTATCCTTAATTTTTGAGGAATCCCCATACTGTTCCGCATAGTGGCTGCACCAGTTTGCACTCCCACCAGCAGTGTATGAGAGTTCCCTTCTCTCCACATCCCCTCCAACACCTGCTGCTTCCTGTTTTGTTGGTTATAGCCATTCTGATGGGCGTGAGGTGATATCTCATCGTAGTTTTGATTTGCGTTTCCCTGAGAGTTACTGATGTTGAACATCTTTTCATGTGCCTCTTGGCCATCTGTATATCTTCTTTGGAGAAATGTGTGTTCAGATCTTTTGCCCATTTTTTAATTGGGTTGTTAGTTTCTTTGTTGTTGAGATGTATGTGTTCTTTATAAATTTTGGAGATTAACCCCTTATGAGATGTATGGTTTGCAAATATCTTCTCCCGATTGTTAGGTTGTCTTTTCATTTTGTTGATGGTTTCCTTTGCTGTGCAGTCGCTTTTGCGTTTGATGTAGTCCCTTTGTTTATTTTTTCTATAGTCTCTCCTACCTGGTCGGATCCGGTAGTTGAAAATATGTTGCTAAGATCAATGTTGAAGAGCGTACTTCCTATGTTTTCTTCTAGAAGTTTCATAGTTTCAGGTATTACATTCAAGTCTTTAATCCATTTGGAGTTAATTTTCATGAATAGTGTAAGATAATGGTCTACTATCATTTTTTTTGCATGTGGCTGTCCAGTTTTCTGGGCACCATTAGTTGAAGAGACTTTCCTTTCTCTATTGTATGTTCTTGGCTCCTTTGTCAAAAATTAGCTGTCCATAGATATGTTGGTTTATTTCTGGGCTCTCGATTCTATTCCCTTGATCTCTGTGTCTGGTTTTGTGCCAGTTCCATGCTGTTTTGGTTACTATAGTTTTGCAGTATATTTTGAAAACAGGGAGTATGATACCTCCAGCTTTGTTCTTTTTTCTCAGGATTCCTTTAGCTATTCGGGGTCTTCTGTTGTTCCATATAGATTTTAGATTTATAGAACAAAAAGTTCTTTGTTCTATTTCTGTGAAAAATGTTGTTGGAACTTTGATAGGCATTGTATTGGATCTATAGATTGCTTTAGGAAGTATGGACATCTTAACTATGTTAATTCTTCCAATCCAAGAGCATGGAATATATCTCCATTTCTTTGTGTCTTCTTTGATTTCTTTCAACAATGTCTTATAGTATTCAGTGTACAGATCTTCCACCTCTTTGGTTAAATTTATTCCCAGGTATTTTATTCTTTTTGTTGCAATTGTAAGTGGGATTGTATTCTTAGTTTCTCTTTCTGCTGCTTCCTTATTAGTGTATAGAAACGCAACTGATTTTTGTATGTTGATTTTGTATCCTGCAAATTTACTGTATTCATTGGTTATTTCTAAAAAAATTTTAGTGGATTCTTTAGGGTTTTCTATATATAAAATCAGGTCATCTGCAGATAGTGACAGTTTCACTTCTTCCTTTCCAATTTGGATCCCTTTTATTTCTTTTTCTTGCCTGATTGCTCTGGTTAGGACTTCTAATAGTATGTTAAATAGGAATGGTGAAAGTGGGCATCCTTGTCAAGTTCCTGTTCTTAAAGAGCTAGCTTTCAGTTTTTCACCATTGAGAATGATATTAGCTGTGGGTTTGTCATATATGGCCTTTATTATGTTGAGGTGTTTTCCTTCTATATCCATTTTATTCAAAGTTTTTATCACAAACTTTTATCATAAACGGATGCTGTATCTTGTCAAATGCTTTCTCTGCATCTATTGAGATAATCATGTGATTTTTATTCTTCATTTTGTTAATGTGGTGTATCACGTTGATTAATTTGTGGATGTTAAACCATCCCTGCATCCCATGTCTACTCTGGCAAGGGAAATAAAGGAAAAAATAAACAAATGGGACTACCTCAGACTAAAAGGCTTCTGCAAGGCAAAGGAAACCATCAACAAAACAAAAGACAGCCCACCAACTAGGAGAAAACATTTGCATACCATATATCCAACAAAGGGTTAATTTGAAAATAGATAAAGAACTCATACAGCTCTACAACAAATAAATGAACAGTCCAATCAGAAAATGGACAGAGGATAATGAACCATCATTTCTCCAAAGAAGATAATACAGATGGCCAACAGGCATATGAAGAGATGTTCAACATCACTAATTATTAGGGAAATGCAAATCAAAACTACAATGAGATATCACATCACACCCATCCAAATGGCTATAATTAACAAGATAAGAAATAACATGTGTTAGAGAGGATGTAAAGGAAAGGGAATCCTCATACACTGCTGGTGAGAATGCAAACTTGTGCAGCCACTGTGGAAAACAGTATGGTGATTTCTCAAAAAATTAAAAACTAAGATACCACAAGATTCAGCTATCCCACTGCTGGGTATTTATCCAAAGAATTTGAAGTCAATAATTCAAAAAGATATATGCACCCCTATGTTCACAGCATTATTCACAATAGCCGAGACATGGAAGCAACCCAAGTGCCCAACAATCGGTGAATAGATGAGGAAGATATGGTATATATATACAATGGAATACCACCCAGCCATAAAAAAGACAAAATTGTTTCATTTACAACATGGATGGACCTTGAAAGTATTATGCTGAGCCAAATAAGTCAGATAAAGAAAGAAAAATACCATAAGAATTCACTAAGATGTGGAAGATAAACAGAGAGAAGGAAAATAGATTAGTGGTTACTAGAGGAGAAGAGGGTGGGGGTTGGGCGAAAGGGGTAAAGGGGCACATATATGTGGTAACGGATAAAAACTGGAGTGTTGATGTTGAGCATGATGCAGTCTATACAGAAACTGAAATATAGTGATGTACACCTGATATTTACAAATGTTGTAAGCCAATATGATCCTCCTCAGAAAAAGAAATGTTCTGTGCGTGTGCAGTCCAACACTATATCCATTAACACATGTGGCTATTGAACACTTGAGATATGGCTTATAAGACACTGAGGAACAGAAATTTTAATTTTAATTTTATTTAATTTCAATAAATTTTTATTTAAATTTAGATAGTGCCATGTGTCTAGTAACTATGGTATTGAACAGCATTGGTCTAGACTCTTGCAAAAAAATTTAAGTAGAGGTAATGGTGAGGATACGGAAAGTTCTATGTTAACAGATGTTTTTCTTTTCCTGCAAATTTACTTATTTAGCTAATTACTTATTTATTTTTAAGGGGTAGTATAGAAGCATCAATGTGTACTAACTTGGCTAGGATTTATTTTAATCCAATTTGAAGAAAATCTTTACAGTTTTTAAAATATCACGTGTTTAAAAACCCATTTGTTAATTTAATATTGTAGAAAAAATTAAATGTTGCAGTCAGCTCTGCAAAAAATTGAGCCATAGAAAGCCATTCTGAAAGATCATTTCTCCATGGGTCATTTTTCTGGAAATATTTGCTTTGACCTTTAAGTAAAATTGAAATCAATCATTTCTCCCTTAAATTGATTTGGTTCCCCAATACTGCTGTCTATCAATCAGTAAGGGAGTTCATATTGAAGAATGGCTAAATTAAGGAGTTTAAAAAGCCAAGATGGGTCAGGCACCTTTCTAATGCATATGGATTCTTCACAATATTCCTGCCAGAAATCTTATGGATAAGATGGTATTTTGATCCATTTCAGATGGAGATAAAAGAGATTGTTTTACTTTCTCTTGTTATCAACATAAACCAATAATGGGATCATTATTATTATTATTTTGATTAAGTGGATGAATATCCTTTTGTTAAAAAAAAAAGACAAAGAGAATTAGAGGACTACCTCCTCCTGAATGTCTGCTATCATTAAGAGAGCTAAAATAAATTTTCTTGGCTGATGAATTTCAACATTCAAATAATGAATATGCCCAATATTTTTACCCAACAACTTGGCTGTACATTTTGTTGTGAACTTACTCTGCTCGGCTCAACCAGGAGCACTGCTGCTCCAAATCGATTATTGTCAGCAGAAGCTCCAACTGGTTGCCTGCAGGCAAAATTCTGCCAGGAGGCTGGCTGCCACGGTGTTTTTGTGTTTTTGACTTTTGTTCTTTCTTCATTGTGAAACTTTTGAAAGACTGTAGATGTTTATTATTAAGAATAATCATCTTTTTTTTTTGGATGTTTCCTCATTATTAATTTCAGGTAATGTGCATTTTTTTAGTTGCTTGTGTTTAAAATTACACAGATAACATGGACTTTCTTTGTTCACTTATCAGGAAGCATATGATGCCTGTGTGTTCTAATACAAATGAGATTACTTCTACTCACTGGGTTAATGGGATGTCATCCTGGTTTCTTCATTGTAATTTTTCTATTTTCCTTTTGTGATTCATAATAATTTGTGAGGAGATACTTTGACACTGTGTAAATAACCTGCTCCTTATCAAACTTTCACCTCTTAGTTTTATCATTATTTTGATGTCTAAATCTATCGTACTTTTTATATTTATTTATTGACATTGTACTATAAGGAATAACTTTCCCTTCAACCCGTAAATCATGTGTTGCTTTATTCATATCTATGTGGACTCACAGAATCTGATTTATCCAATGAGTTATAATCTATTACTATTATTATTTATTTTAATGCTTAATACTTCCTAAATTTGGCCTGAGAGAGCCTTTTCAAAACCAGATCTTGTGTCATTTTGATATGTCCCAATCATATTAGAACACTTCCTTACTTTCTAGCACAATGTTATGGTCTCAACTTATTTTATCCTTTCCCAGCTCAAGCCCTAGAAGCAGAAATTTTTCCAAAGAGAGCTGGTCTCTCTTACTGAACAAAGTTTTTGAGAAACCAAGCTCTAGGCATAAGAGTTATCATTGCTACTGACTTGTCATAGCTTTTGGTTCGTATCAGTGGACAGAGCTCGAAAATATATGTAGAGAAATAAGTGTGTACACACACACAGAAATATACAATTGTATAGTTATGTTTATTTGTACATAGGCATGTATCTTTCTCCTAAAAATAATGAATCCATACTCGTAATTCCAATCAGAATCCACACCCTCAATGCTCATTCTAGTCTCTTCTATTTCCGTATCAGCAACTGTTTTCTTCAACAGTATGAAAACTATCTTCCATCATCCTCATTATTTTTCTCATTTATTTAAGCCTAAAGCATACAATAAGTAGTCTCCAAATTTCGCTATCACTATGAAAAGTAAATATAACAGATGTTCAATATTTGTTCATACTATACATTTTTCCTAAAGAAAGATTTACATACAGTGAAATGTGTAAACGTTAAGCTTCTATTTTGACAAATGTGTTACTTGTAATTCTACCAAGATGTAGAGCATTTCCATCACTCCACTAAGTTCCCTCATCATGCCCCTTCCCAATCAATGTTTGCCACCTCCCGCCCCTGCTGAAGAAATCCCTTTTTCATATTTATCTCCTTTGATTTTGTCTCTTCTAGAACATCTTATAAATATAATCATTAAAATATGAACTGTTCAGCTTATTTTAGTCACCAAAATGTTTTTGATATTTAAAGATTTATTGGGTGTTTGATCAAATATTTTATTAATTTTCGCCTTTTTATTATGGACTTGTAAGCGTTATTTATATAATTTAATTCAAATCTTTTGTCAGAATATATATAGCGGCATCTCACAGTCTGTGTATTGCTTATTAATTTTCTCAAAACTATACTTTTGTTGAATTAAAAATTGTTACAAAGATGATGTCTCTAGTTTTCTGTCTAAGGAGATATTCGCCTATCCTTAAGTCATACAGATATTCCATTTTTTTCTTCCTAGAAGCTTTTATTTAGTTCTATATTTAGGTTTATTACTATTACTATTGGGAGGAGAGAGAGAGAGACTTGTATATATACATCCTATTGTTTCTATTTTTTATCTAGAGAATTCTGACTAATACAGATTCTAGTAAATTTTAGAAATTATACTTAGCAGTAGTAGATAGAAGACAAAAGGTCATCTATATTTTTAATACCGTTCAAATGTAAGAAAATAGCTTAGTATGAAAGCCAAATCAGACTGCTAACTAAATCTCAAATGAGGCTGATTTAACCATCATGTGAATGTAATGCGGATGTCAGAACAGCATTCCCATATAGGAGTAGAGACTATTCCAGGAGAGTCAACACAAAAAGCCTGCAGCCTATGGGCAATTTTCTACCAAGAAGAAAAAGAGTGGAGATGTTCTAGATGTTGCAAGTTATTCTTCCCAAATTGAACCTTCAGGTAACGGGCTGCAAAAACCCAGAAGAGTCAATGCATTGTTGCTCCTTCACCTGAAATCCAACATCGAGTGTGAGAAGAATCAACTGCAGCACCTGATGGGTCAAAACTCATTATCTTGAAGACCTCTTTCTTTGTCTAAAATCATTACTACTAGAAAATACTCATGGCATACTCAAGATCTCTTGTGAAGTCCTGAGGAATAAAGCCCTTGGAAATATTACTTCAATGTTTTTCATGAGATTTTAAACTCAAATAAAATAAAATGGACACGAATTAGAAAAATGATCAAAGAAAAAGAATAAAATACTTCACAGAATGGATATACAAATGGAAAAAAGTCAGCAAAATTATTTCATTCTGTTAAATGCTAATTATAAGGAGAACGATAGTTCACCTACCAGACTGTCAAAAGTAAAATCCTCAATATTAACCAGTGTTTTGAGAATTCAGACAAACAAGTGATATTAGTCATTGTTGAAATTGATGCAATATCTTTGAAGATTAATTTTGAAACTTCTGGAAATCATTAAAATTATAATTTACAAAATATATTTTCTGTAAGAAATGTTAGGTTCAAGAATTTATTTTATAGATGTCTCGGTCCAAGTGTGGGGGAGTGTAGAGAGTCCTGGTTATCCTCTTGTACTTACAATGACCCTTTTTTTTCTATTTTCCATCTGTAGGTCTCAGTTAGGAACTGGTTTTAGTAATTTGAAGACCACAGTGTTTGAATAATCTCAACTCTAGACGAGATGTCTTATGAGATGTTGACAATTGAAGATGGTGTAAATATTTTCTAGTTTCACATCATGTCTCCATTCTGGTTTGGCATTCCCATATATTTTCAGGATGACTGCAAGAACTAGTAATTTTTAGACATATTTCAAACTTCTCCAAATAAGCTGAGAATTATAGTGGACCACCTTAAGCTGGCCTGCTGCCTATTTTTGTATAGCCCACTAGCTAAGAATGGTTTGTACAGATGAACTTTTGCAATAAATTTGATGATATGGAAAATCTGACTTTCAGCCCCACTTAAGCAGAATGTTATCCTCCAGAAAAAAATGAATTCCATTCTTCTAATTAGTCGACCGTATCACAGAAAAACTACACATTTATGATTATGATTATTAATTTTATTATTTATTTAATTTCATCAAAATTTTTATGATTTCTCTCTTGTAATATAAATATCTCCATAATATTCTTGAATTGTCTCTTTGCCCACAAATCATAAGCTATTTGTTTGGCCCTTTACACGAAAGTTTGCTGAACTCTGACTAAAATATTAAGAAACTACCTCCGATGCTTTGTAGTTTTATTCCTGAGTAAATTGTTATCTAAGAATAACAACCTCTATTGGTAATCCAATCTAATCATATCTAATAAATATCGACGTTTAAAACAGTCTCAGAAGATGTCTCAGGTTAACTCTGGATTTATAAATAGTGATTCTCAACAGTCATAAATATGTGATAAGGCCCAGTCCATAAAACCATCAACATTATCCACCATCTATGAGACATGCAGTGCAATATTTCTTACATATGCAGTGATTTTAATCTCATGAGTCATAGTATGGATGTCTTCACGTATATGCATATTTTGCATAATCATTTAAAAAATGATCTATGAGCTGAGGTTTTCAGGAACAATCCACTAGCCTTAAGTTCTCAAGTCATTAATCTTAGACAAAACACTGCACTTCTTCATTAATGTAATAGCCTTGACTTATTTAAAAGCTGCATGTTTTATATCCACTGAGAAGATACGCTGCAACGTGCCCAAGTAGATACACACATGCACTCACACAGGGAACACGCACATTTCCTATAGAGACAAACTCTCCAGTGACACATTATCGCTTTCCGCACAAAGTTCAACGACTTTGCATAATGTCCATGGTCATTCTTAGTATTTTCCTTGTCTCAACAAGTTGTACCTTACATTGAAGGAAAAAAAAAAAAAAAAAACTATGCAGTTGCCTTAAACCGCATTCTGTAGTTTAAGTCTCCTCTATTATCTACCTGGCACGGCATGTCCTTACTTACTTGACCGCTCATTCATCTTTCCTCAAGAATCAGACTTCCTAATTAAAATAGAAGCAAAACAAATATAACTCTCTGACTGCTGCTCTCAGTTAGATTTCATGCTTCATTTTCTTTGCTAAGTCCACAATCCATGGATACCACTACACTTCTCTCTCATTTTCTTGACTCTCTTTTCAGAAATATAAGGCTAAAAACTCATGAAACTTAAGCAATGTGTCAAATTTAGCCCTATGCCACTATTCTTTAGCATAATATTTGTAATATTGTAGGTTTTTGATAACACTTGATGAATTAATAAAGAAGTAAATGGTGGAGGTAGCAGAAAAAGTATTGATGTGTAAAATGGAACACTTGATTTTTCATGATTCTTGTGTCTGTAACTCCCTGAATGACCCTGGAAAGGTACTGAAATTGTTAGACTTTATTGTCTCAATAGATACATAAAGGATTTTGCTTGTTTGTTTTTCTGTTTTTTGGATAGAACATGTTTAAGACGCATTTCACTTGATTTTTTTTTAAGATGACTTGGGGATGAAGAAAAACAGTCAATAACCTGTTTTCAAGAGTACCTGGAACACCTAGAACAATAAGTCTTGGGTACATTTAAATTCAGTGAGAGATGCATATTAATTCATGAATCCTTCTGGAGAGGAATTCTTAAAGGAGGAAGCACAACTAGGGACTGAAAAATGAAAAACAAAAGGAAACAACATATGTTCACTATTTTGCTCTTAGTACCTTTCTCATTCTCATTACACAGGTAGGATCCACAACCCCATTGACTGATAGTTGTCATGTGCTATGGTGATCTGAAAATAACCTAACGTGCAGGCAAATTTCACAAACAATTAAATAGAAAATCCAAGCATATAAAATAATGTGGATTTTTTGTTATTTTATTTAGTTTTGAGAGACTGTTGCTATCACATAAATAGGAAGGCATGAAGGTTTTAATCAAGGTGGATTTTCTGAAGAGAACATTTTGACCACATGAACACGGATCTGCTTGGTCTTTGCACCATAGACAATTGGATTGAGAAATGGAGGGACCAGCAAGTATAAGCTGGAAAAGAGGATATGGATATAAGGGGGGATATGAGAACCAAACCTGTGTGTGAAGAAGGAGAAGAAGGAAAGTAGATAGAACTGGAGGAAGACACAGATGTGAGCAATGCAAGTATTGAAAGCTTTCAACCTAGCTTCCTTCTGGGGCAAGCGAAAAACTGTGATAAATATCTGTACATAGGACAAGGTGATGAATATGACATCGAACCCTGCAACAGTGAAGGCCACAAACAAACCATAGATTTTGTTGACCCGGACATTTTCTGCGGCCAATTTCACAATGGCCATGTGCTCACAGTAGGAGTGGGAGATGACTGTTGTGTGATAAAATTGAAAACGGCACTTTATCAATAGTAGGCTTGGAGCTACTAGAATGATAGCCCTGAGTGTCACTACAGCCCCTATTTGGGCGACTAACTGGTGGGTGAAGATGGAAGCATGTCTTAGTGGGTAACAGATGGCCACATAACGGTCCAGAGCCATGGCCAGCAGGATGCCTGACTCCATGCACTGAAATGTGTGGATGAAGCACATTTGAATCAAGCAGGAATCAAAATAAATCTCTGCAATATGAAACCAGAAGATTCCAAGCATCTTGGGCACAATACTGCTACTAAGTACAATATCCGTTATTCCCAGCAGGCCTAGGAAAATGTACATGGGCTCATGGAGGCTGCACTCTGACATAATGATCAACAGAAGCAAGGAATTTCCAATCATAGCAATGAGATACATGACACAGAATGGGATCCCAATCCAGCACTGCACAGACTCTAGGCCTGGGATCCCTGTTAATGTCAACAGAGAAGGCATGAAGATTGTGATGTTGGACATGGGTATAGTGTCTTTGGACCTCCTGATGCAAATGAAAAAGTTACAAAATCGAGGCTATTGCTCCTCTTCTACTTCCTGTTTTTCTCCAAAGTAGTTATATTCAGTCTATCTGATTTTGGTAGAACTCTAAGATTATATTATCCATCTCATTGGAGTTTTGAAGGGAAAAGAGATCCATAGAAACATATCAGTGTTTTCAGGAAAGGCATCCCCAAGCACTATACCACAATAAGATGCTATGTGCACGGCAGGCCAACTGCATTAGAACCAACAAAATCACCTGGGTAAGAGAATTAACTGCTGACCTGTCTGTTATTTCCTTTCTAGAGCTGTGGACGAACATTTAGACTTGTTTATTTTGTTTGGAAATTGTATTTTAATCAAAGTTTGATAAATCTCTTCAAATCCCACCTTCTGGCTACTCCTCTGGTATGCCATTATTTCCAATAGTCTCTAAGTCAGGAGGTGTCAGTTTGGACCAGGAAATTCTTGGGTCTGACCAGTTTATTAGTAAAAGTCTCCCTGTGAGAGAGAATAGAAATAAAAACAATTGACACTAGAGATCACAATATATATATATATATATATATAACCTATATAACATAATATAGATACATAATTACTATATGTATCTAAATATCTATGTAAGATGTTGCTCTTTCAAAAGAATGTGAAGGAAGAGCTTTCAGAAAAGATCATTCAAATCCAAGTACTTTTGATAATCTGGGTCAAAGTTCCTTGCTAATTTTATTTTTCTAGTGAAACTGTATTTTAATTTGCCTGTGTTTTTAACAGCTGAAATTCTTACAATTAGTTGTGTGCATAAAATAGCTGAAATTCTGTAATACACGTGACAGAAAACCTAGAGGACGGGGATTTCTGTGAGGCAAGGAAATCTTCAGCATCAATGTCTAGCGTCAAGAGGACCCATTCGTGATGACTATAGGACGTAAGAAAATGGATAAAAGAGTGACTTAGTCAGAATAGAGGTTAGTTTCTTGGGTTTAAACTGTTCAGAGCTACCATTAGATGAGATTTGGCCCATTTAGGCTCATTAATCCTTAATGAACTATAGATCATCTGGAACGTTTGAATCCTTTTGTGAACTCAGGCATAAGAAATTAATAGAAAATAAAATGTGAAAGGACAGGTTGCTTAAAAAGTGTCAGGTATAGAATAGAAACAGAAGATAGAGGATAGACCTTGGGATATCACAGATGATTCGGGAGAGGGCTATCTGGCAACTGAAGAAAATTAAATCACCTCTCACATCACTGAGAACTGAATTTTCTGAAAACCTGGGCTCTTATGCCATATCTGAATGCTCTTCTCTGATCAAAATTATTATTTACAATAATTAAAATATTAAAGCAAAAAATTCTCAAGCTGTACATTAGAGAAATGGTTGTTTTTCAGTAAAATAGGGTTAGGTTATTTCATTCTTTCATAGACGCTCTGAGAAAGTTGCATTATGTCTTTAAGGTCATTGTCAGCTAAACATAGACTGAATGTCACCAAGTATGCCTGTAATGCAGGAAGCAGCTGTGGTTTATGCTGCTAAACCTCAAGTGAAAGAACCAACTCAGCAGGGGTCATCTCATGACAGGAATGCTCTAGCAACTGACACATGTAGGAGAGACCAGTCAGTCAACCAAGTTCTTTGATTTCTACAGGTTTGCTCCCCATGCTTAATTCTGTGACTCCCCAACCCATAGATCAGTGACTCTTTCTAATAGGGGTAAAGTTTTACTTCGTCAAAGATAATCAGAGTTCGAATAGGAATCCTTGAAGAACAATCACAGTGTCTGACTTATACAAGAGTAAGGAGCTGACATGTGAGCATTATCCCACAGATATAGATTGTGGGATGGAGGTGGAAGTACATCAGTGAGCACAGGGCTGGTGGGATGGAGTGATTATTGTTGCAAAAGCTGGTGATAAAACATTATGGGGTAAACTTGGGAATAATTAGACTTACTCACCAATTGTTGGGAGCCAGCTCTGCTCTTACAGGATACCTGAAGAGGATTGTCAGTTCTTCATATCACTAACACTCGTCACTCATCACTTATCAACTCTTTTCTCCTCCTGAGGTTCCAGTCTCATTTCTTTGCACTTTTTGTTCTACAATGCTCTCCTCTATCTGCACCCTGTGTAACAGCACCCAGTCAATGCATGAACCCTAAGCCATTTGGTGCTGGGGCCATCTGCCAATATATGGACACTCTGGGATAGCCTTTTGTTGTCTGTCTCTGCAATATAGACACTTTCTTCTGTAAGTCTGTCTGAGATTATGTTTGTGCCTTCATCCTCCAACAAAACTCACAGAAGTGGGGCACAGGTCAATTTATTGAGCTCAAATTGGAGAAGAAATCTGCTAGCCACCAGTTTTAATGTTCCCTGGTGAATATGTGGAGAAGGAGGAGTTATCGACATGGAAGGAGTGATTTCCTCACCAGTAGCCAAACACACCAGGCATTCAGGATATTTTAATCAAGTCCTCATAGGTTCATCCACACCTAACATGTCTGAAATCTTTTTCACAATTTACCGAAATCTCCTTTCTCTCCTCCTTTCCATTCCTCTACAGGCTAAATGCAGAGAAATTAATATATGCATGTTTTCTTTTATAAGCTGAGTTCCTTGTCTGCTGTCCCCATTTGCAAAAAAATCTAGTCCTCTTAAATGTAGACATGCTCCTCTGCCAATGAATTATATTTAAATAAATATCTTTGTGTCCTTACCCTTCACTAAGCCACTTCTGGACAGAAAACTCTGTATTCAAAGTTACTCTTTTATCACACAGTTACATCTCATTTTCCTGTAGCCTCATTCTTTAGCTTTTTATTTCGTTGAAGCTACTTTTGTAAATTCAATAATATTCTCAGAATGATCAATTAGAATGGACATTTCTAAATCCTACCATATTGGGCTTTGAGCAAGTTGCTGCACATTTAATAATATTTCTCCCTCCCTCCCTTTATACTTCTCTCCCTTTTCTTTTCTTTTCTTTTCTTTTCTTTTCTTTTCTTTTCTTTTCTTTTCTTTTCTTTTCTTTTCTTTTCTTTTCTTTTCTTTTCTTTTCTTTTCTTCCTCTTTTCCTTCTAAAAGCAGTTGCCATAAGCCTCATATGTGTGAAGAAATTTTGCCACTTGCTCTTGATGGAAAGACAGAAATTGATATGATATATGTATGCCTTCAAATATTTAGAAATTTGGGGACATGAGTTAGTATATATTTTATCATGAGAACAAATGATAACTTCTAAGAATGACTTATGAATTTGGTACCTTTTTCTTTGACATTTTTCACCTGATTTCCAGATTTCTTGTATGTAGCTACCCTTAAGAGGTACTGGATGTAATGTTGAGACATTGGCAATTTCAGGAAAAATATTTTCAGTGAGATGGAGAAAGGCATTCACAATGAATTTTAGGAGAATATGAGATAAGGATGAAAAGACGAGACTCTAAATACTCTTTCCAGAATTTCTTCTGTGAGGGAGAGAGAAACAATAGTACTGATTCATATGGAATGGAATTGATTCAGAGGTTGGATTGGCATCTAAGCTAATCTTCAGTTTATTCTTGAGTCACCAGCAAACAATTTAGACTAGTTTACCATTTTGGTTCCCTCCCCTTCTTTTCTTCCACTGACTGTATTTAAATTTTGGTGCACCCCAAAGTTCTATCCTGGGTCCTTTTCACCCTCAAACTATGTGGATTTGTGTGTAATTCTATCTACTGAACTCTCTCTGGTCACTTCATTTAGCTCTAGGATGGGTAAACAATTTTTTTCCACTTCATTGTAATATTTGATAATATATTCATACCTAGATCAATATCTACATATTTCCTTTATTTATTTTAGTTTTTCTTTCTTTCTTTTTTTAATTGGGCTACTAAATAGTCTTCAAGTAGAAGGCTACCAATCACTTCTAATTTCTTTACCAAAAATATAGATATGTATTAATTATGAAGCATACGTCAGTCTGGCAATCTAGGTCTTAGTAGAGTAAAATCAATTAGACTTATTTTCTGTCCCTCTCTTATTTTAACAAAGTTCCGATCATAAAGTGACTCATGTTAAGAGAATCACATGTCAGTGACTGCTACATCTACTGACAAATCATAGGGAATATAGTCAAGAAAGTAATGCCCAGATATAAAATCTACTGATTCTCAAAAACAATATCAAGGTAACTCAATGGAGAAAGAAAAGTCCTTTCTCCAAGCAATGCTGACACAACTGGATATCTATTTTTAAAAAAGCAACCTTTCCCCCACCAAAAAAAAAAAAAAAAACTTAAAATGGATTAGAAACCTAAATGTAAGATCTAAAAGTATAAAATAGCTAGAAAAAAAAATCACATTTTTTGTGAACTTGTATTAGGCAAAGATTTCTTAGAAAGGTCCAAAAAGTATAAACCAAGCAAAACAAATTGACAAATTAAACTTCACAAAATAAAAAATACATAAAGAGCCAGAAATATTTAGTAGATTTAGAAATAGTTCTAAAACAATGTGTGAAAGATCAGAGGTTACTTAATGTACATACAAAAAAAGATACAAATGGAGCATAAGCACATGAAAAGAGTCTCAGCATCTTTAGTCATTAGAGAATGCAAATTAAAATCATAATCAGATGTAACCACATACCAACTACAATAGATGAAATTTACAGACTGAGATTGTCAATTATTAGTGATAATGAGGAACATCTAGAACTCTCATGTACTGCTGATAGGAATGTAAAATTGTATGGCCACTTTAGAGAGCAGTTTGAAATTTGGTTTAAAAGTTAACCTTACACATAGCACACAACCCAGCAATCTCACTCTGAGTATTTATCCAGGAGAAATAAAAATGTGAGCCTATGAAAGATTTTTACCCTAATAATCATAAAAGTATTTTCATAATTGCCTAAAATTTTAGATAAGTGATTTCTTTTGAAAATAGGGTAACACTAGACTTCTATTCCTAAAAGATATAAATTGGCGG